CTCTCTCTCTACTTAAATTGTTTTTCTTCAGTGAGCTGGTTTTTCTTTCCTCAGCAGATGGACCTTTAAATACTCAAAACTAAGATCCTGTCTGAAATCCTTTCCCTTCTAGACATCAGCAGCCTCTGATACCAAGGCTTGAATGGTATCTAATTCTCCAAATAGTACTTCTCTGTTTTGGTTGTATAACACTTCAGGGTGGCATCTTAGAAGAGGAGCTGTCTCATCTGTGACTTAATGATCCTGTACCTCTGGCAGTGCCCTTATTGATATGTTTAAGGCCTTGTGCTCCATACTGTGCCAGATCATGAAGGGTTTTAATTTGTAGCCTGCAACATAGCCAGCCTATTTTTTTTCTTAAGATTTATTTATTTATTCATATAGAACTGGGGTACAGGCCAGAGATGTGGAGGGTGAGAGGATTCACCAGAGACAGAGTGGGGAGCAGAACAGGCAGATCGATGAAGTACACTGCTGAGGGGAGCAGCGGGCGGGTCAGGAGAGGTCTGCCACGCCATGTGGTCACCTCCGGGGCAGGCGGGAATCGAACTCATGAGGAAGTGGTTTTTAGATTCTCAGTGCGGTGCTTTAACCTGCTGTGCCACCAGGGAGGGCCCATAGCCAGCCTATTTTAAGGGCAGACTATTATCCTGTCCTTAAAAGCCTTGAAACCTACTGTTTACTTGGCCCTCCTTATGGATAAAAATCCTTTTAGGTATTCACTCTCCAAATAGGGATGCTTTATCTCTATGCTTCGAAGATTTATTCTGGCAAGTAATTTTCCTCCACAATCAGCTTATCTAGTGTTTCTAAAATTTTTCTGCCACATTCACATCTCATTTCACACTATGTAATGAGTAACAATTCTTAAATCATTTAAGCTATCCAGAGCTAGCAGTAAATTCATCATCATAGTTGGATCCAAACTTAGGTTTCAGCATCACAAACAAATTTATTGCTTTGGCCATACCCATCATGGTCTTGAAAGGGGTAGCTTCTGTATCCAATCTTACACATATTTACAAATGTCTCAGTATCTGATGCAGACCCATCTTGATTTTTGTAAGTATCATTGCTTTCTAAAGACCAGATCTTTAACAGCTTCCATCAGCTCCTTCTTATTCTTGAAGATTATAATTTTCGTAGATTAGAACTTACCTGACTTATGAGCAGTAACTATCAGTGATTTTCTACTTTTAGTCCTTAATCACTTTTATTTCCAGTCAGTCACTCAACCTGTGCTTTTACTGGTAACATTAGCAGTGGATTTTGTATGTTAAAGGACCTTGATGAACAAAATAATGCAAGCTTAAATCAAACATGTGGGAAAATGAAGCTATTAAGAGTATCTGTAAATATTCTTATACAATGTATGTATGAGACTCTGTGAAAGGCCACACTACCATAGCTGAGACATCACTAATAGGAATTTGGGGACCACCATTGTGTATGTGGTACAGTACTGACAGAAGCCTCAGCAGATAGGACATGATCATATAGAAGCGACATCTTCCCCTATTAATTAACATTTAGTTTGTTCCCATACTCTTTTATAAATAATGCTGTAGTGAACATAAGAGAGTGTATACCAGCATCAGTGCCTTCATTGGGGGGGGGGAGGGGAAAGCTAATTACTCAGAAATCATTGGATCATGTGGTAGTTCTATTTATATTATTCTGAGGAACTTTCACAGATTATTTTATACATTTTCAATTTACATTCCTATAAACAGTGCACAAGGCTCCTCTTTTTTTCATATCCTAGACAACACTTATATGTGTAACTTTTTTTTGATGATAGCCATTCTGACAGGTGTGAGTTGCCATTGTGGTTTTGATTAGCATTGCCCCGAAATTTAATATTGTTGCACAATTTTTTTTATAGACATCCATATGTCTTCATTGAGAAAAAAAATGCCTTTTGTTAATTTTTATTTTATTTTTTAAAGATTTTTATTTAAGCATACAGAACTGGGGTACAGGCCAGAGGTACAGAGTTGGTGAGAGGCTTCACCAGAGACAGAGTGGGAAGTAGAACAGGCAGACTGACTGAAATACACTGCTGAGGGGAGCAGTGGGTGAGATAGCAGAGGTCTGCTGTGCCAGGTGGGTCAGCTCCCTGGCGGGAGACAGAACTCCAGCCGAGGCGGCTTTGGCTAGCATTACAGGTATGTTGCTTCAATCTGTTGCGCCACCAGAGAGGGCCCCTTTTGTTCATTTTTAATAGATTTTTTTGGTTTTCTGTTATTGAGTTGTAATTTGGTTTTTCACCTATTATCGGATATATAATTGAAGAGCATCATCTCTCATTTACTAGGTTGCCATTTTGTTTTTGATTTCCTTTGCTGTACAGGAGCTCTTTGGCTTTTTGTAGATCTATTTGCTTATATATATATTTTTTGTTTCCCATCCTTTTGGAACCACATCAAAAAAATTATTTCTAAGAGATGTAGTAGCTCACTGCCTGTATTTTCTTACAATAATTTTAGGGTTACAAGCCTCACATTCAAGTCTTTATCCCATTTTGAGTTAATATTTATGTGTTATATAAAAAATATTCATTTCATTCTTCTGCAAGTAGCTGTCTAGTTTTCCCAATACCATGTATTAGACTGTCCTTTTCCTATTGTATATTCTTGTGCCTCTTAGTTTTAATTAATGGACCATGGATGTGTGGGTTTATTTCCTTGTTCTCTAGTCTTTTCCATTAATTAATGTCACTATTTTTATACCAATACCGTACCACTTGAAGTACTTTATTTTGTAATATGGTTTAGAATCAGGCAGCATGGTGTTCCCAGATGTCTTCTTCATTATCAAGATTGAGTTGGCTCTTTGAGATCTTTTATTCTTCCATATAGATGTTAGGACTATTTTTTTTTTTATTATTTTAAAGATTTATTTATCCATACAGAACTGGGATATAGGCCAGAAGTGCAGTGGGTGAGAGGATTTGCCAGAGAGTAGGGAGAACAGATTGGCTGGTGTACACTGCTGAGGAGAGCAGTGGGCAGGTCAGGAAAGGGCTGCCTCACCATGTGGGTCACCCCCCTAGCCAGGGATCGAACTCATGTTGCAAGGGCTGTGGAGGGTTTCATAGTGTTGCGCTTTAACCCACTGCACCACCAGGAAGGGCCCAGGACTGTTTATTTTCTTTCCATAAAAATAGCCATTGGAATTTGATAGGGATTTCATTGAATTTGTAAATTGCTTTATAATAATATATTTTAACAATAATTATTCCAATCTGTAACTACAATATCTTTCTTTCTTTTGAATCTTTCTAAATTTCATCAATATCTAAAGTTTTCAGTATATAATCTTTCACCTCTTTGATTTATTGCTAGGTACTCCTTCTGATACCACTGTAAATGAGATTGTTTTAATTTCCCTTTGATATTTCAATGTTAGTGCATAAAAATGCAATAGATTTTTTAAATTGATTTGCAGCCTATAACATCATTTAATTTATTAGTTCTAATAGCTTGGGGTAGAGTTTTTAAGGTTTTCTATATATAAAATCATATCATCCACAAGTAATGAAGTTTTCACTCCTACTTCCTTTTCATTCAGATGCCTCTTATACTTCCTACTGTTCTGGTTAGGATATCCAATGCTGAATAAAAGTGACAAGAATGGGCATCCTTGTCTTGTCCTTAATCTTTCAACTTTTATTCTTGGTTGACTATGATTGTCTAAGCAGTCCTGATGTATTCTTTATAGGTTTCAGTTACTAAGTGTGTGCTAATATCTGTCAGTGATCCAAAGAAATGAATCTTTATCAGCACTTAGTTCAGACTGATTGAAACTTAGACATCTTCTTTTTTTAAAAGAAAGCTTGCACCTGTGCACCTATATATAGTCTTTTGTGGCCATAGTCATAAACCCTGTGGCCTTCTAGACCAGAGGATCTGGCAATGTGCCCTGGGTGATAGTTGCAAAAGTTGGGATCCCAGACTATGTGGAAACTCTGGTAGTGACACTACTAGAGATACTGATAAGAGATGGGGAGGCTAAGGGGAGAGCATAAAGCGCATCTGATTCCATGGAGTGTTTTTCATCTCTAATGTGTGGTAGATGTGAAGTCTATCCCTCAGGCCAGCCTCCAAGATAGACAGCAGACTTTTTAATAAGAAGCATGGAGATGTGCCCTATCTGCTATCTATACAGCACACCAAGTGGAGAGGGGGTGCTTGGGGGGTAAGGGGGGTGTGAGGGTGGCAACCAGCCCAGTTATTACATTTCTGTGGGGCTCAGGGCTACCAGAGTCAGGTCATCAACATTCAGTCCTGGTGTGGACTGCCTGTGCCCAAGACTTTAGTTACATTCCAGGTAAGCACAAAGGGGCACGGTGAACTGTAGCTGTAGCTTAGACCACTGGCACTACCAGCTTCAGTACCTGCTTGCTACTGCCAGTCTCAGCAGTTCAGTGGGCAATGCCATTTCCACCTACGTACCCCCTCATCAGCAAGGTGGAGGAAGAGTGTCAACAGAGACCTGACTTCCACCAGCACCTGTTACATACACCCTGTTGATTTTCAAATTGAAACATTTGAGGAGCTCAGCTCTCTAGTGAAGGTCTCAGACACTGGGGTGCCTGGTTTCCTGATGTGGGAAAAGTTCAGGGGTTGTGAGATTTCCCTGTACCTTGGATTACTGCACCCAGGTTTGAGACTTTTTCAGGAGATCAAGTCTCTGCCACCCCTAGCCATTTCAGCTTGCTTTTTGCTCATAATTGCTGGGGAGGTATATAGTGGGTAGCCATTTTGCAGGGTTTGAATTATTCCATATGCAGAAAACTGATGTGTCTATGGGAGGAAGTGAACTCAGGATCTACTGTACCAACATTTGGCCTCCAACCCAGAGTTTTTATTGTATCTTTTTATTTAAATTTAATTGAGGTAACATTGGTTTACATTGTTTTAGAGGTACAGGATCTCCCCCTTCAGGTGTTAACACACTCATGACCAAAACACCCATAGTTCACCATTATAGTCCATTGTGCTCTCTCCTGACTTTGCTGTCACTCCTCTCCTCTTCTCCCACTCCAGTATCTTCAGTTCTATAGTCCATTTTATAAAATTAATTGCTTTTGGTTTTATCTGACTCTTTGGTTTTCCTATACTTCACAATATCTGGGATTTATCTTTCTCCTGCTTATTTCCTTTAGCATAATCCCCTTCATCTTCATTCATGTTGTCTGCCACAAATGGCAAATTTATCCCTTTTGATGGCCGAATAGTATTCCACTATATATATATATCTCACATCTTTGTGATCCACTCATTTGTATTTGGACATAACTTGGCTTTTAGAACTCATGCTGTAATGAACACAAGAGTAGATGTCAATATTCTTTGGGTAAATACCTATTTGTGGATTGCTGGATTGTCTAAGAGATCTATTTTTAATATTCAGAAGCCTCCATATGTTTTGACCAGTGTACATTCCCACCAGTGTGTAAGAGTTTTTCTCCACATCCTCACCAGCACTTGTTTTTGGTTGTTTGATATGGGCCATCCTCTCAGGTATGAGATTGTGTCTCCTGTGCTTTTGGCTTTCATTTCTCTGGAAATAAGTGATCAGCATTTTTTGATCTGATGGCCATCTATATATTTTCTTTGGAGAAACACTTTAGTTCTGACCATTGTTACTGGTTTTTGCTGTTGAATTTTACGAGTTTCTTTGTGGATCTTTGATATCAGTCCCTTGTCATGTGTGATGTGCAAATATTGCCCCCCTTTAGTGTCATTTTGTTTCAGTTATGGTTTCTTTTGCTGTGTAGAAGCTCTTCCACTTGATGTAGTTCCAGTTGTTTCTATTCTCTTGTTTTCCCTGCTGTTGGAGACAAATCCACAAATACATCACTGAAGCGTATGCTGTAAAGTGTTTTGTCCATGTTTTCTTCTTTGTATTGTATGATTCCAGACCTTATGATGTGCTTGACTTAAGTTACTAAGGCCTTATGCTGAGTCCCCACATTATTTCTGAAATGATGCCCTCAGCATTTCACCCATAGTCCACCTTTATTGTCCATTGTGCTCTCTCCTGACTTTGCTGTCACTTCTCTCCTCTCCCCCTCCAGTATCTTCAGTTCTGTAATCAACAGTATCATGCTCAGATGCTTGTTAAAAATGCAGATTCCCTGACTTGCCTCATAGTATTCCTGGGCTTGACTTATAAAAGTCATTTTCACAGCCAAAATCGTAGTTCTTCCACCATGTGGGTTACCCCAAAGACACCAAAGACTGATGAAACAGAAGCCAAAGCAGTGAGGGAGAGGACTTCCAAGGAGACAGAATTATGAGGCAAGGGAGAGAAGGGAAGGGTGCTAGAAGCTGGTGGGCTGTGTCACAATGGAACTGTGCCTGTAAGGAGGCTTCAGTTATGACTTCCCAGTCTCTACGACTTTCGCCTTCATGCTCCTAGCCTTTGTCTTCTGGCAAATTTACAGTGAGACATATCCAGTATCACCATGGCCCCTCCACAAATCAAAGCAGACAACAAAGTGAAAAATAAAATGTCCAAGATTCAAAGGTCAGAAAAATTGTATAAGATGATACTCTACATGTCACAAACATTTGGCAAGAGTTAGTAATTTCACAAATGTGAAATCTATTTTCTGGATTCTCTGCCCACTTCACTTCAAGTCCTACCACTAAATATTGCTCATTTCACACTCTTCATGGCTCTTTGTAAGTTTCCTCACTGTAAAAGAGACCCACTTACCTCCTTCCCTTTTGTTTTCCAATGAATGGCCTGTCAGAATACAGATTGTGTGGAAAATGCCTTTAACTTCTGACTGCTAACTTCACTCAGGGTTGAATTTAGGAAAAAATTTCCGCATACCTGGTTACTAATGGAAATTGTTCATTTCAATGCATTTATCCCCCAGAAAATGACTGATGGATGAGAACTCAAATTTTATTTTAAAATGTAGATTTATTAAATAATGCACCTCTGACAGGCCATTTCCTCCTCATAGGCATAGCTTATCCCCTTATCTCCTTTCTAACAACCAGTCTGCATATTCTCTTCCTTTCCTGCCTTCACAACACCAATTCTCATTGGACATTGTGATGCCAAATTAAATTAGTCTGAGGTCTGGGACACATGGCATTCCAGGTCCCTAATATAATGGACCTAAAGAAAAAATCCATGTACTAGATTCTAGTTGAATTTTTATTCTAGTGATTTAAATTATGTTGGAAACACCACATGGAGTCCTAAGATCGAATTGGGAGAGCTCAAGTTGTGCATTGTATACCGGGCCCTCTAGTCACCAACATCCGCCATGTTTGTCTTTTCCAGTTCAGTGTACTTCCCCACAAAGAAAAAACTTAAGTTACCTTGGCATGAAGTCTGATACTTTAAGCCAGAATATATCACCCACAAATTCTCAGTCACCTCCTTTATGACACCAGAAATGGGTTCCGAGCTCTCCATGTCAGCAAGAAACAAGCATGCATCTTACATTATATAAGTTAAAAGCTTTATTTCTCCCCACAATTAGCAAGTGGGTTTTCTTCCTACAGCTGTCTTCCCCATGGATTATCCAGTTCGTGGGGAAACTGCTTTCTCACTGGGTAAAAGTGAGATCTCAGACACTCTGGGTTAAGCACAGATATGAAAGAATCTAACCCAGCAGCCTCTATGAGTCAGTGAGGTCCAGAAGTCCTTCCAGCTAATGTCCTGGTAAGGCAGAGACAAACAACTACATGCTGTAGGGCCCGTCCCTTAGAAGTGACAAAGTACAGCCCATTTGAATAGGAAGCTGGTGCCAGAAAAAAATCCTCAGCCTGCCCAGCCCTCTTTTCTCAATTTTGTGGCCTTATGCAGAGCAATTCTGCTGTGCAAACAATGGGATCTTTGCTGTGGGTCCAACGTACACGCTTCACCATGTGCAAGATACATCTTCACTCAGAAGTTCATTGTTCATGCAGTTTTTAGCTAGTGCTTCATAGGACTGGTCTCTGCCTCACCTAGACACAATGTCATAGCCACAGGAGCACGGAGATGCAGGCAAGTAACGGTAGAGGGAGCGTGAGGGCACTGCCACTCGATGTTCTCTGAGCATGCATTACAGCGAAGACCGCGTTGGTGTGGTTGGTGGGTAACTCCACATTGCAGATCATTCCTTCACAGCAAGACCTACACTCCTGTTGCCAAAGGAAGAGAGGGGACAGAGTGAATAATAGGGAGAAGGAAGAGACAAAAAACTTATAAAGAAAGGCTCTCTGTTCAGACTACAGATAGAATTAGTTTATTTTCCAGACTGAGTCACCCACACCCTTCCCCTCAGTGACTTGTAAGTGAGGACCATCTTGAGTTTTTTCATCTTAAATGTGATTTATCTGCAACAACCCAAGCGTCAGTGAGGGAATGAAGAGGAAGGGAAACTGAATAGGACCCCCTGATGCAGTGGACACATCTTTTAAAGGTTTGTAAAGGAAAACGTTGAAACAGAGATGAAAGCTGGCAAGCATTGGGATTGGTCATTGATTTTCTTCCTCAGCACTGTGTGTTAGGGGATAATAACGACTGTGCACTGTCGATGCGAACACCCAATTCTGATCATCATAGCAGCTCGGGCTTAGTCACTGTGTCTGCTGAGCCATGAAACAGGCTGGCTCCCTCTAAGCACAGATGTTTTCAGGGGAAGCAATCTCTTGCCTTAGCACGTACCTCAGCCTGGCACAGCTAGCCAGCGAGAAGGGCCGCCAAGGGCTAGAGTAGTGTCTGCATCAGTGGGCTCACCTGGGCTGCACATCAGAATCACCTTGGGGAACTTTAAAAAATAAAGCTCCTGATGCTCAAGACCCTGCCCTGAGGTCGTTTCAGATGTTTCCCAAGTGGTTATCACGTGCAGCTAGACTTAGAAGCCACTGGTGTTGGAACCATTTTCTATATATACTGGCTAAATCAAATTCTAAAACCTTATGAAATTAAGATAAAATGATGTAAAAATACACTTGTAGTTCAAAATATTAAATTGAGGTTAACCTTTCAGACTCTCACTTCATCAGGAAATCCTTAGTAGAAGGAGTCACCGTTTTCTTCTTTCAAGCATCCCTCTTGTATTCTTGGTGATTTCTGGCCATGAACAAGAGAGCTGAGCTGTGTAGTCAGTCATTCTCTTATAAATGATTTGCTTTTTGAGCCTCCAGAGTTGCCTTCAGACAATTCACCCAGAGTCTCAGGTCTACAGACTATTTCTGAAATAAGGGAATTGTCATTCTTTTTTAGTGCCAGTATTTCTGGCTGAACTCAGAAAATCTTCAACTTTTCTTTGGTCTCCATTGCATCACTGTAATGGAGTCTTTCCTCAAGAAGAAATATATTCAACACATTACTTTTCCTCCTGCCCCTTCGTGATATAGAGCCAGCCACCACTAGTCAGCAACCAGAGAGCAGTAACTGCACACACACTCCTTACCGTATGTTCAGAATCGCGGCTGTGGTGGCAGCCCACAAAATGACATTCACTTCTGGAGGCACACTTTTTGGTGATAGATGTACTTCTCCCATGACTGGTGAAGTGATGAACTGTCAAACAGTACTGTGTATCTGGGCAGGAGAAAATAAAGACAACTTCATTTCTACGTTGCAAAAGAGACCTCTCAACAATCATTTCAGAAATGACTAAAATTCAGCATGATCCTAAAGCAAGAAGTGTAATGGCACTGAAATCTCGAGTTTCTAGGTTATACTTCTGAAAAACACATCAGCTTCTGAAGCATATGTGATTTCTGAAAATGAATATAAATGGGCATCCGACTTTTGGTACCAGTTAAAAATTGGCTCAGAAAAAGTTGGACACATTTTTTATCAAAACCGTAGGTCTGCTCATTTCAAATGAAAGACTCAATATCTGTGTCTCTCCCTCTGAAGCACATGCTCAGAAGACTAAAGTTAAATCCCAACTGTACGTGTAAAATCCAATGGGTCCAAACACTTGTTGGGACCTGAGTCAACGTTTGTTTCTTGCATACTAAGAGGCTACATGGTGAAATGAAAAGCACCAGCTTCCAGTTACACATCGAGACTATCTTCCTACTCATCTACTTCTTATTCATGGCCAAATCCAGTGTTTGACTTTTCCTTATCAAAATATTTTTTTTCCTCCTCTTTAATTAACTCTACCAACCCACTCACCCCCTAGAGCCAGCTCGTTTCCAAGCAGAGCTGTCCCTACAGCTTTAACCACTCATATTTTATTAATTGGGGTTCTTTCAAGAATGCGATTTCATTCCCTATCCTAGTACATTCTGCTTTATTTCTGTGTCTCTTCAATAGTCATTTCAGGTAATGAAATGCTTCTTACTTTATTACAGCAACAACATAATAGAACAGTAGGAAAAGCAGAGGCCTTAAGGAACTTTTTTTCTCTTCATAACTTGAAGATAAGCAGTGCCCGGCCTTTTCATACAGTGGTTGTGAGCTTTAACAAAACACATTGTGTCTGTACCATCAGCCAAGTACTTGTAACATACTTTCAATTCTCATAAGACTTAAAATGAAGTCATATTAATATCCTCATTTTCCAGATAAGTAAACTGAGGCACAGTTTCTTGCCCATGACCACAGGTAGAAAAGTGGTGAAAGTTTGGATACTAACCCAGGTGGTTTTCTAAGAGGTGTGCTCTTAACCAGAACCAAACTCTCCCTCTCTGTACAGCTAGTCTTAGACTGAGCAGTACTGTAGCATCCCTAGGTGACTTCTGGATTCAGAAAGAAAGGGAACCACTGGAAGTTTAAGAATGGCATTTCAATGTATGCCTGAAACAAATAACAATTGAAAATTGGTGACTGCAGGGGTTCATGTAGAATGTCACACATGCAAAAGCAGTGCTAGGAAGTCAGAATAAAAGCCAGGATAAGCAAAATAAGAAATGTCATTCTTTTCATATCTTGTTACACAGAGAACCTCTTTTAACAATACCAGCAGGCCACAGAAATAAAGTGTAAGGGAAAAGGAAATCTGAGATGACAAAGAACAGCAGCAGCAGGCCTGTTTGTCCCAAGAAATGGTTGATTATCACTCCTCTAACTAATGACAAACTGAAAAGAAAAATTACATGCTTAGTTAGAATTCCAGATGGTTAGCATCTTTGAGGCTTGACTGATGTAAGCAACTATGTGCTGCCAAGCAAGCAAGAATGTAGTGTCATTTCATGTCGATTGCTTTATAAGAGTTCAGCTTTCATGGTAGGTGTTGAGTCCACTTTTTTCACACTCCCCATCTGACATTTTCTTGGTAGTAGAAAAATCTGTTTCACTCGTTGGCTTTGATTAATGTGTGACATATGGTAGCATTATGCACAGGTTAGTAGTTTGGTACAATTTAAAGAACAGTGTGGTCCATGAAAGAATAGGCACAAGTGACTGGACATCAATACCCCATTTTAATATTCTAACACTTACACCCAATTTTCATGGGAATTTGAAGCAAATAGTTAAAGAAGCACACCCTACCCCTTCTGATAAAAGTAAAGATGGATCAGACAACCTCAAAAATGTTGAAGGCACAAAGAAATGGAAAGACAGTCCTTCCTCAGGGACTAGAAGAGTTAACATTATAATGGTCACCTCACTCAAAGCGATAGAGTCAATACAATATCATAGTTTCAGTGACATTCTTCAAGGAAATAATAACATTACTGAATTTTTTAAAAGATTGTTTATGCATACAGAACTGGGGCAAAGCCAGAGGTGCAGGAACGATAAGAGGATTCACCAGAGACAGAGTGGGGAGCAGAACAGGCAGATGGTCGAACAGCAGGTGGGTCAGGAGAAGTCTGCTGCGCCATGTGGATCACCTCCGGGGCAGGGGATCAAATTTGCACTGAAGCGGTTGCAGCTCGCTTGCAGTGCCGTGTCCTTACCCATTGGTGTCACAGGGAGGACCATTACTGAAATTTTATGGACGAATTAAAGACCCCAAATAGCCAAAGCAATCCAGACACAGAGTGATGGTACCATACTTCCAGACTTCTACGAAGCTATAGTCATCAAAATAGTATGACTTGAAATAAACATAGCCTAAGGAAATAAACTCAACTATAGGGACAGTTAATCTACAACAAAGGGGCCAAGAGTATACAATAGAGAAAGGAAAGTCTCATCAACAAATGTTGTTGGGAGAAGTATCTCAGACTATATACAAAAAGAAACTGAAAATGGATGAGACTTATAAGACATGACACCATAAAATACATAGATGAAAACATAGGTATAACACCCCAACACAGGCTTCAGATATCTTTGGGAGCTTGACTCCAAGGTAAACAAAACTAAAAATAGAGGACTACGCAACTAAAAAGAATTACACAGTGATAGAAATTACTATTAAAAACATCATGCAGGGCCCTCCCTGGGGGCGCAGTGGGTTAAAGCACAGCACTAAGAAGCTAAAGCCACTTCATGAGTTTGATCCCCGCCTGCCCCGGAGGTGACCACATGGCGCGGCAGACCTCTCCTGACCCGCCCGCTGCTCCCCTTAGCAGTGTACTTCGGTGATCTGCCTGTTCTGCTCCCCACTCTGTCTCTGGTGAAGCCTCTCACCACCCCTGCACCTCTAACCCCCAGTTCTGTACAAGTAAATAATAAATCTTTAATAAAAAAAAATGCAGAAAAGAAGTTTTGTATATCAGATCTGACAAGGGGCTAATTTTCCAGATCTACAAAGAATTCATACAATTTGAAAAAAAAAATCCAATAAAAAAAATAGTTGGTTTTGTGTTTTTATATACCAACAACAATTTTTATATACTGATTTTATGTCCTGTAACTTTCCTGAATTAGATTTAGCAATTTATTTTGGGGGAAAGGGTTAGATTTTTCTATATACGGAATTCTGTTGCCTGCAGTACTGACTGTTCTACATCTTTTCCAGTTTTGATGTTCTCATTTTCTTACCTTCTACTGTAGCTAGAACTGCCAGTAGGGTGCTGAGTAAAAGCAGTGAGTGGCAGCTTTATCCTATTCCTGATCTTAGAGAAGTGCTCAACTTTTCACCATTGTATGGAATATTGGCTACTGGCTTTCCTGTATTGAAACTTGATCTCAGTGAATACCAGTTTCGTCAGTGTTGTTTTTCTGTTGAGATAATCATGATTTGTGTCCATCCTTTGATGGTGTGTTGAATTAAATTGATTCTTTTGCAAATGTTGAGCCAACATTCGCTCCCACTTGACCTTGATGTATGATTTTTTTTTCATACATTGCTGAATTGGCTTGGTAATATTTGGGGGAGAGTTTTTGTATTTGCATTCATCAGGGATACTGGTGTGTAGTTTTCCCTTTTGTGCGGTGTCCTTGTCTGGCTTTTAGTATCAGGGTGATGCTACTCATCACATGATTTTGGAAGAATAGGGAAGGCCTGGTAAGACTATTTCACTATTGTTAGATATTATACTAGATAGACTTCTGTTAGAAGTCTCCAAAACAGGTAAACTCTAACTATAGAAGGGATTTTTTTTTCCCATTGCTGTTTACCTAAAAAACAGTGAATCCTTAAGTCTGACTAGCCTGTGTCCTCATGCCTCTGGAGCTTTTGATTCCAGATCATCCAACTTCTCACCCGCTCTTTCTACCACACTAGTTTAAGTTTCCATCTTCTCCAGCCTGAAGACAATGAAAAACCTCACTTGTTAGCCTCTTTTCCTCCTGTCTTCCAATCATCCTTTCTCCACACAGCAGCCAGTATTACAGAACACAACTAGCAGCTCATTTAAAACACCTCTCTGCTTTCCCATCACATTTACAATGAAATCGAAACTATCAGAACAAGTAGATCAGTTTTCCTTCAGATCCTTTACCCATCACTCACCAGCTGGCCATGTTCCTGTTCATTAAAGAGGCTAGGTATTTTTAGACTTCTCTTGTCCTGATTGATCTACTTACAAATCACCACATGGCTGGCTTGAATTTACCCCGAGATGATACAAACATATGCATATTCTTCAGAGAAGATTTCCCTAACTACCTAACCTAAGCATCTATTCATTCTGTTCATCAATATTTACCAAAATATATCCCAATAATAGCTCCTATAAGAGTAAGCTAAACAAAAGGATACTCAAATATTGAAACTGTATGACTTTCCCAAGCATCAGTGTATCTCAAGAGCAGCAAACTTTTCTTTGGCTTAGCCATTGTGATTTCTAGAAAAACCGTCAAGCACTTCTAAAACCTTAAAATAACTGAGTTAACATTGTAGTCTAATAGTTCCCATTAGTAAATACTAAAGAATTATTTTCCTAAATGCAGCTACAAATTGAGGCTAGACCATCAGTTTTCAAGTTCACTCAAGTCAGTCTGATGTGTCTAGGTAGTCTTTTAAAAATCTGTTTCTTCAGAACATGTTCATTCCATTACATAAGATCCCTCCACTCAGAACTGCTCAATAGAGACCCAAATGAGGTGCAATTACATAGATCTTCCAAAGTCAACACACTTACTTTGCGGACACCATTTGTCTTCTGCCCATCGATTGCAGTTATAATTATCCCCTGCGTTTTCACAGGTAAAACATTTGAAGCTATTTGGAAATGGTGTGGCTTTAAAGAAAAATGCAAAATGAAACAGTAAGATTAAAAGACATTTCAAACATTAAAGATGGCACATATGATAGCTACCTTTATTATTAGAACAAACAAAATTTACAAGTCACCATCCTTATGATTTCTTTTGCTAGGAATCTGGACATACTTCCAGATGTTGAGGCACTTTCTTTCCCTTTACTTTATTTCATCTATGAATCTCCATTGCAGAATAATGAATGTTTCATCTATGAATCTCCATTGCAGAATAATGAATGTGATTCCTTAGGCCACTTTGAAATACTCAATGTTTGTTACTGTTCTATTATCAGGCATATATTAGGCAAAGCTGTGGCAGTATTGGTTCAACAATCTGATGTAGTGTTGTCCCTGGAAATAACTAGAGTCAAATTACCTGAGGTTGGATTTTGCCCTTTCTATGTAATTGTTAACTTCTAAGAAACAATAATACTTACAATAGTAGTATTAGTGAAGCAGCCCATAATTTGCAGAGGTATTTATATTGTAAAAATCAAAGGAGGTTACAAAAAAAACCTTGTAGAGTCCCTGGCACATCAATCATGCTGGTCCCCACATGTACCTCCATTAACAGCTATACTTAACCTCTAGCAAGCAATCTCATTTGATATGTCAATTATTGCAACATTAGACTTCAACTAGGAATCTAACACCTAATATAAAAAGAGTAATTCTTGGGCCTAAATGCTCAGGCCAGTGTTATGGAGAGGAGGAATTATGAACTGTTGAGTCTGGAACAACTAGTATGTTCTTTTTGTATTCCTTTTTACTAGTCATTTACCTTGTTATTTTAAATGGCAAGAAGTCAGAGTAATGAGTTTAACATTTCTCTACAGATCAGGCTACATAAATCCTTTTGTAGAAAATTCAGTTCTCCCATTTTGTAACAGAGTAAACAAAGATCAAAGTGAACCTAAATCAATTCTATAGTTAGGGCAAATAATTACACAGGAGTGGATATTACAGATATGGAGAAGATGCATGTATACAGATGAAAGAAGAGCCAAATATTAAAGGCTAAATATGTTCAAAGAACATGAATTTAAGTAAAACTTAATATACATCTTCAACTATTAAATCAGTACAATTTAAAAATATATACCCAATGTTGGTGGTGAAAAAGTTAAATATAAATGGCACACCCTATTTGAGTCAGTAATTCTAACTCCAAAAAGCTATTTTAAGGTCACTAGCCAACTTGAGGGGAAAATGGCATTTTAAAAGACTTCCAATTAGATAACAGTTTAAACTTGTGTGTGTGTGGCTAATATAAAGTGTGGAGAATTGGCTAAATAAGCTATAAGGCATTATAATACTTTCGAAGACATGGAAAACATTCAAAATATACAGTAAAGGAAGAAAAAACCTTGTTGAAAATCTAAATTTGTGGGATAGCATATCACATCCTTAAATACATGTACTTGGGATAAGTAGAAGAGCTAATTACAAAGATTTTTTATTTTCTTCTACACATTTCCCATCTCTGAAATTTTCTTCTCTCATAAAAATATATCAGGCTTAAAAAAGTTCAAATTTGTCAACAATTTGCGTTTTATAAAAGTTATGTCCATGCCATTCAGCTATCAGTGTATAATCATAACCAATTTCGGCCTGTGTGGGTGTCGCTCGGATGTGTGGTGCTCGTGCTCACACATGGCACACACCTCCTTGAGGGAGAGTGGAAACAGTACCTTCCAGCTAGCACCAACAGTATCCAGAAAGCTGTTCTAAAAAGAGGAGAGGCGAGAAAATTCTCTCTCCTGAATACTGAGCTTCTGGAGAAGGGCCTGGGCTAGAGAGCTATGAGGGCTTTTATCATGTTCTGCTACTTTTCCAGGTGTGGGAAACACAGGCATTCACATTTACTTATAGCCAACAATTTTCACCTCTAACACTTTAGATAAAGTGTTAGAAAGAAAGTTTTACTTGTTCGAAGAAAAGATTTTATATGTATGTAATATCCTATAGATCATAGGCACACTTGTTTTTAAATTATTAGAGGAAAGCTGAGCTTTAGTCAGCCTTTGCTAACAGTAACTGTGCCAAGTATTAATGACATCCAAAAAATACTTCCCTCCAATTTTGAACATACTAATCCATTTCCAAATTACTAGTGACCATTTGAAAGAGTATCTCATTGGTGCAGAAACTTCCTACTCAATAATATCCTTCTCCAGTGAGGTAAACACTGATTTTCCTCTGCTAAATCACCGAGGGACAGTGCTCAACAAATTGTTAAACCGAGAATTTACCAGAAAGTTCAACCACCTTAGTCTAGATATAAATGAATGTTCCCTCTGACCCCACTGTCATGGACTAGAGTAGTAAACAGTACTTACGGTCGAGAGGAGGCCTCACATTATAGAAGTTGATGTTCTTGGCAAATGTCCAGTTTTCTGAGAAGATAAAGATTTGAAGAACTGCTACCGCTAGGGCCTGGCACAGGGGCAGCATCCTGACCCTGGGATGGAAAGTCCAAAACTCATGTATCTACAATAAAAAGAGAGTACTGTTCATTTGCATTGTCTCTATCAATTGGAGTAGGAGTTGCTTCTCTTGGGAAGTGTAGTTATTCGAATACATTCACCCATCTATTTGTTTGTAAGGCCAGGACCTATGAGCAAACTGCATTCTTCCCAATCAGATAAAGTAAGGCAATTACTGCCTTCTACCAGTCAGCCCTCTGCACCAGTCAGTTGGGCTTTTAGCAGGACACCTGATGTTCTTCTGGGCTCTGGAAAAACAAGCAGTCATTTCTGGCCTGGCTACACCCCATTCCACCACTGCCTAAGGCTTTACTTCGTGCTGAATCACTTGATCTCTTAACCGTGATTCTAGGCATGTTCAGCTGAAGTCACTGAACCACTTATCTGTCAATTCCATTCCCTAAGTAAACACTAGGGTTTGATAAATTTTGCGACTCTTTCAAAACCTAGAAAAAACAAAGCTGGGACAGTGGGTAAAAGGACGAGTTGGGAGAAATGAAATGTCTGCTGTATTTCAGAGCACACACTAAGAGAGTAGTGTCATTGTGAAATGCCATCCCCACCTCTCTCCGTGATACTCTCGCAAGGAGAAGCTGCCAAAAAGCTGTAGAGGACACGGAGTTAAAAGTCATTCGAGAAGCTGAAAACCTTGCAATGTTAGCCCTGGCTCAAGAATACAACCCATGGTTTCCACAGCCTTAAAGTGGCAGGGCTGACCCCAAATGCTAAGCTCATGTGTACCTGGCACCGAGACAGGCTACATCGTAAGCCCCACATATAGGAAGGCAGTCTTCAGGAAGATGCTCAGAATCTATAATATCACCACTGCCAGGTTCTCTTTGACAAGGAAGGGAGCGGGGAGCAGCAGAAAATCTACACAACTTGGAGTCCCAAGGCTTTTGGTTCAAAAGTAGCTGGCTCTGCTACTTATTAGCTGCGTGACCTTGGGCCAGCTCTTTAAACCCTATTAACCTCAATTTCCTCCTCTGTAAAGTGGCGTAATAACACCGTCCCTGCCCACACATCTGGGTAATTGTGAGCATCAAACAGGTAGGATCACACAGGGTTGTGTGTGTATTTGTAATACAGGTTCTGTGAAATGTTGGAATCTTAGAATGCAATGGTGGTGGCACTCATTTCCTTCTTGCTGCTACAACTGGTCTTGATAAGTTCAGGGAGTTTTTCAAACAGTTTGAATCTCTGGACTGGCAAGCATGGTCCTTCTTCACATGGATACTGTGTGGAAAGCCAGGATAATGACTCATAGGCTTCCTTACCTCTTAGGTTGTGACTATATTGGCTTAACATGTGTAGTTATTAAGGTCACTGCAGCTACTGCCATTTCCTATGGCTATAGAGCTGAGGCCCCAAGACAGTGCTCTGTGGAAAAGGGAAGCCGGTGATTTCACAAAACAGCAGCGCTATATTTTACACTCTGCATTGCAGCTCAGTATAGAATCAGACCTAATGATACGTAAATAGGTATATAATTCTGTCAGTTAATTTTACATACCCCAATCAACCTTTCATTTATCAGATAGCTAAATTATATTCTCAGGTGCTTTCTGAAGAATGGACCTTAGCCAATGGATATTCCTTCCAGGCAAATGTTTAGAAAATCTGTTTCTATGAAGTTTTCTGAGTTGAACTATTCATTAGCCCAGCAATGGATAGCCCTTATCTATACAATGAAGACTCACCACTCAAAGGGTCTACACAGTAAACCCTCAACTGGTGCAGACCCTTTGAGTGGTGGGTTTTCATTGATGTAGGGAAAGGCTATGTCCATTGCTATCCCTCTTTAACAAACCTCAAAAATGGCTGTGTTCCAATAGCAAAACACAGGCATTCTTATACTAAGGAGATGTCTAAAGATTATAGATTCCAACTATCTACGTTCAAGTCCCCTTTTTATCACTAAGTAACTGTGAGACTAGACACACTGGTTGAGCTTTTTAGGTCTCCGTTACCCCTATGCTGAATGGGGAAAGTGACACCAAGCACAGGATACTCAGCAGAGTGGTGGGCACACGGCTAAATCCTTCTGTTCTGCTACAAAAAGTTCCAGTTCAAATACCCGCTTCTAAACATACTGTGCAGACTGTGATGTACATAATTCCTTCCACATCTATAAAATAGAGTAACTGGAGGGTAGCTAGGTTTGTCATGGTAATCATTGCATAATATGTAGCACCTAAGCTATTTCTTCAGTTTACATATATTACTCCTATCTAATTAGCTATATGTCTGCCATTTTGCTAATTCCTACTTAGCCCTGAGAATTATTAACAAATCCCAGTTTATCAAGACCCGTGGGTTTTCCTCATATTTTGTATCAGACAAAAAGCCCATTCATTGAACATGCCATTCTTAATACATTTTATAACTGGATCACCAACATCTTCATTCTCATGCAGTTGATATTTCAGAGGGAGAAGACAGGCAATAAATATGGAATAAACAATTTTAAGGTAGCCAGAAATTCTATAAAGGAGAGTTGATAAGGAAACAGCATGTTGACAAGGAGTTGTCTGAGAGACATAGTCGACCTGCTATGTCTGAGCAGGTGAACTAATACAATGAGAAGAAACCAAGTTCCTATATCTGGAGAAAAGAATGACTTGACAGCTCAGAAAGCAACCAATATGGCTGGAGCTTGCAGATGAGGGACTCTGACTCTAGCAAAATCAAAATCATTTCAATTTAGGTGACCTAATTTTGAAAAAATGACCAGAATGCTGTCCGTAGTGTAATTGGCCTGAATCCCAAACCTTATTTCAAGCTCCTAGCATATAAAAGCAATAGTGAGCGTAGACAAAGAGTTCTGTAAGCACCACAAAGATTGCTCTGAGTAAATACATGAAAATGAAGGCGGGCACTTGGCTTCTGCACTCCCCATAAAGCCCCATAGGGAATCCAGAACCACTGCCATTGGAAACTGAGCACAGTGAGGCTACAAGACAATGTGTGCAAAGATCCCAGCACATTGCCTAAAGGGTAGGCCCTCAGGGCAGTCCCGAGCTTGTTGTAACCTTCTCATTTGAAAACTGGTGAAAGTCAACCAACAGAATACTGCTTCCATTTGGACTAGCTATATTTTCATTTCTACTTTATGCCATTTAGGTTAGCCTTATTCTATCAAAATTCTCCAAAACTGCAGAGGTTTTACCTGTCAAATGAGGAAAGCACAAAATAAAAATGTCTCATTTTCCACAGCATGATTTATAATCTATTACTATGTACTGCTTTTCCTCCAAGAACCTATATTTATCTCTATCTATTTTCAGGATATAGGTTTGTGTTAACATGACTGTTTTATTTTTCACAACCAAAACACATTAGGATAATGAAAAAGCAAATGACTGACTATAGCTTCTGAAAGTCGTTTTATATTTAGAATCATTTCATAGAGCCTCTGAACTAAAAATTATCTGCTGAGACATTGCTGAGTAGGCTCTTACTGCTGTCTTTGTTGCAGAACAAGTTTACAGTGGAGCTTATATTTTCTCCAAAGGGGAAAAAAAAGTTTGCATTACACAAAAGCATTCTGGCTTCTTTGAGGCCCTTATAGGTGGGGTATGGGTGACCTGAGAGACAGACTTAGGGCTGTTTGCGAAAGTGTTTGTCTTTACCTATTTTTCCCTGGGGTAGAATATCCCCTGAGTCCCACATCATGGTTAAGAGTGGCTGGATGTTGTTTTCAGAGCCTCTTGAGACTTGGATGTTCTCATATGACTATGAAAACTCCACATAAGCATTATGTATCTAATCCACAAGCCTCCCAAGCTCAATCTCTTCACCTACCTTTTGCAGGAAGTAAACCCTTCAACTATGGTGTTTGTCTTCGTCTATGTTTTGAGTCCTCTCTCAGGAAAGTATATTAATCATTGTCCCAGAAAGCAGTGTGCTTCTCTGCCAAAGGGTGGGATTTCCAGAAATAACATCCATGGGATTCAACAGGATGAGCAAACTCTCAGACATTCCAGGGAATGATGCGTAACTAGATTTGTAAACTTAGGAAAACTCACCTGAGCCTCTGGACCACTGCTGCCCACAGCAAAAGATCACTGGGTGCAGAAGCTTGAATTCTTCAGATGCTAGCCTTCACAGACATCTAATATTTGAGGTTTTAAACTCCTGCGAAAAACATGAAAATTTGAGGGGGTCCTTCAGAAATGGCACATCCTTGACATCGCAACTAACTCTTTTGAAACAGGCAAAATACTTTATGATGTTTTCTTTTCTATTCCCAGCTGTTATATATACCATGTTTAAGGCATGGTAGATGCTCTTAAAAAATACTTTTTGAAAAAGAATCATTAGCTCTGTCCTACAGAGAGCACCTTTCTTAGCAAGTAAGGCAAAGTTTGCCTGCAGTAAGGAGTTGGCAGGATGTCCAAAGATAAATGATAGACTCAACAGGAGGTTTGGGGAAAAAAAAGCTCGAAGTGACAAATAATGGCACTTCTTACACAATTGCTAAAAATGAATCAGCAAATTCAAGGCCAACAACTGCCAATAAAACATGAAATAGCTAATTTAAGGAAAGCCACTCAACTAAGTCCAGAACGCCTCTCAACACTCACATTCACACCTTCCTGAAAGCATCACTTATCCCACAGTAAGTCACTTTAATGATGAATTTTAATAGACCTGGCTTTGTGTTACCAAAAAAAAAAAAAAGACGACTGAGTGGAAAACCAAAATAAGTGCTGAAATTTTACTAAGAATGGCATAAACGACAAATTTATCCTCCACAAGAGGGTGGTGCTACTCACTTCTGGCTCTTAGAGTCAGGCTGACCAATGTAGATATGCTGGTCCCCATTAAGTTCAGGAGAAGTGTTGGTGGGACTTATGCCAAGACTCTGCCTCCCTTCCTTGCTTCAGGTGTTAACCTTGCCTGGTCCTTGAAACACCAAGCAGTGATGTTTCTATGCCCACCCTCTCTGTTAGGGTCTGCATTTCTGGCATATGAAGAGTTCTTTCCCACTCCCAACTTTAAATATGGATTTTCTTAGTCCTATCTTTTAAAAGTATTTGACCCAGCATTTCTATATACCTGAAGCAAAGGATAAGAAAGAAGTTATCTTCATCTGGAAATTCAAAATCTCCATGGGATATCATGATTTTTACTCCTGGATAACAACATTCAGTAAGGAAAAATAGCATAGTGAATTCATCTCATTAGTTTGTTCAACTCTTGAAAACAGCATGACTAAGTTATGTCTTTATAGCAGGTATTGGGCTAAGCACAGTGTGAATGAGACTCAGAAAAGCCAATGTGAGCATAGGTGAGGTGTGCCCAGTGCTGATACAACTAGTTTTAGATTCAAGGTCTAAATTCTGGTTTATATTTACTTACCAGGTAGTCAAAGTTATGTATTGTCTCAAACTAAAATCTTAGAACTAGGACTATAGCATTGGGGGAGGGGAGAGAAGTGGACCTATACCCATAAATCTCACACAGTGTTATAAATCTACACTAAAAAGTACAATACATTTAAAAATTTTTTCTCATTTGCCAATAAAATAACTGAGACATTGAATCAAGTAGGCAAGTTGTTTTAGATTGACAAATGTATAATTATGTAGATGAAAGTACCTTTCACTTAGATGGCATTCAAGAAAAATCAGGTGCCATCTGCCCTGCTTCTTAAGACATCATTAGAACAGATCAGAGACAGAATTCTTGGATTCCCTGTGAGCTGAACATAATGGACAGACCAATTCTATGTGCTAATTTCTTAAGAGGATTTAAAAATTCTCTCTCTATTGCAACCCAAGGAGGGGAAGCTGGAATGAATAACAGCCAAGTTTCCTTTCGCTTCTAATATTCTGATATTTATGGAAGAATAGTAATGAATTCCCTACACCATAAAGTCATAAATTTACTACTGCATTCCTGATTCCTGTATGCTACAGTTTAAAGAATAAGTGCAGAAAATCTCATCAAGCACAGGATCAAAGGTGCATAGGAATTAGTAGCTCATATCCAAGGATAAAGCCATGCATTTTACAGCTAAAGAAAAGTTTTCTACATGCAACATGGTAAAAGATATAAGGCAGTGCAAATGTTACAATAACTTCATTATGAAAATAAATTTTAAATCTGAATCCTGAATACAGGTTCAGTAGGTGTAATTTGGGTGATGAAATAGTCTAATTTTAAAGACATCTTTTAAAAACAGTTTTGTTGACAAATGTGATTTATCCCCTCACATGTGGTCAACTGCAGTGCCACCACACGCACTCAGCCATTTAGCATATTGCCTTGTGCTCTTTCCCCTGCCTCATGGATGCCTTCATGTCAATTGTAAACTTTCTAGGTTTGTAAAGACAATTTCTTAAATGTGAATCCAGTCTCTAAGGAAAAGAAAAAGAAAACATTCCAAAGTAATGGCTGTTCAACTTCCTTTTTGTCAATGATTTCATTTTTACATTTTTTAGGTTTTCATGACTCTAAGAATAAGATTTAGGTAAGAACTCCCCTGAACAAAACTGTAGAGTTTACATGTTTACAAATGGGAATTGGGCTCCTCTAATAATGATAATAACAACAATAAGATGGACTTGTCATGTTTAATTCAAATACTTGTATTAAATTTGAGAATATTCTTCAGAGATGAGACAGTTTTTACCAACTTTGCACCCTTGAATTTTTTTTAGGGGGCTTAGTGTCAATTTTGCATTAAGACTTTTAAATGGAGTAACTGAGAGGAGCTCTTGAAGTCTTAGGTGAAGAGGGTTCCTCTGCTGTGCATCACCTGTGCTTGCCAGCAGCTATGGGAGACAATCTCATCTGACGAAAGGAAACTACCCCTTTGTATTATCACCCAGAGCACCAAACATGGATCATGACAGATATTTGTTTCAAAGAGCTCCAGCTGATTCCTTCATTCGACTAATTTCTTTACAAAACCCAAGGCAATGACATTCAATGGTAATTCTATGGAGATATTTCTGCTGTTCGGTAGGCAAGTGCAATTTTTTGCTTTTCCATAAGGGGTATCTTGACAAAACTGGACAAAATTTCAGCGGGGAGTGTCAGATGCTTGTTGCATAAGGAGAGATTCATTGGAACCACATGAATATGAACTAAGAGGTAACACAAGCTGGGTCGAGAAGACATTGTTTTATGTTCTATATATTCTTGCTTTACCAAATTCATTTCTTTTAATAACCAATCAAAGCTCAACAGCTGACTAGGGATCCATTATCCTCCATTTGTTGAGTGGTGAAGTATTTCATCCCAAGGATGTACTACCCTACACGTAAAACTTAATTTTGGGGGTCAGTGTGTAGAGCACAGCCACTTATCTGTTCATACAGATAAGGTTTGTATTTGCATATCTCTGGTATATATTCTAATATGGTAACAGGTGTATGCCAAAGCAGGCCTTAGTTCATGTGTGTATATGATATCCCCACACATGTGTATATCATATATACACATACATATATATATTAATGACTGAATTGTTTATATTCTAACCAAGTCACATCATAGAAGTGTTCCTCAAGCTCTACTAAGGGACTATTACCAATCAACATCAGTCCCCCTGGGTCCCCCTGCAGTTACCTTGCAAATGGGAGAGCTTCCAGAATTGTTGTGACGCACTTGTCCTGTCACCTTCCTCTTTCCTAGGGTTTTAAATCACTGGCCATTTGTTTGTAGAGCCACCACTAGACAAACCTTATGTTCTATTCTGAATACTTAGCAAGAACATGCTTGTGAATATCACTCTGAAAAAGGAGGGCATTTTAAATCCAACAATAAAGCACATGTTCTGGCAAAAGAGTAACATGCTGACTTTTGAATCGTCACAAAATCCAGAAGAGATTATTCAGAGAAATCTCTGGAAGCTGGCAAGCTTATAAAAGAAATCCCAATAAAAATTTCTGCATTTTGCATATATAACAAAATTACAGCATGTCACTTGCTCTATAAATTGTCACTATTACTACTTGGAGCAGAAGGAAATGTACATATATAAAGATATATATGTACATAATTTCATATTCCCGGAGGAAACTAAAAATTATGTGCACTAAATGGTGTTTTAATTGCAACATGAGAAACTACATTTAAGCACTGGTTCACAATTTCACAAGGGTAAAGTCAAGTTAAATGCTGCCTATTCACGGGGGTGAATGGTCTTTGGAGACCAGGTCTGGGTGCAAATTCCACCACTTACCTACTACCACAAAAGATCCCTCTATTCTCTAAGGTGCAGTTTCCCTGTCAACAATAGAGATATTAAATATCTATTTTTACGAGTTGTGGGAATTAAAGGAGAATGAATAAGTCCCTTGCTATTTTTACTGTCTAATTGTTAAATCAATTAGAAAACTACAGATAGAGACTGATAGTTCCTCTGTGAATTACATAACCACCAGCATTATTAAATCTAGCCAGGTAGTGCATGATCTTAAGACTGAAATTCAATATAGCTATTTTCAGCCCTCAAACTATGATTACATGAGTATATATGAGAGAAGGATGTAAAATTACTCTGAAGGTCAATCTATGTGGAATAACATTTTGGCTCAGTAGAACATTTTTCTTTATCTGCTTTTTTTTATCTGCTTTCAGATATATTCTTTGTATATACTCAAATAATATGCCGTAGTTCCTATAAAGTTGGCTTTAAAAAGCAGAAAAAAGGTGACTGCTCTTCTGTCATTACCTTGTACTTCTGACAGTCTCATTTACTGTAACTATCTGTGTCCACTCCAGCACTTGGTTTAATCTTTACTCTGAAAAAAATCTGGGATTTCCTTAGGGAGGTAAGACTGCCCTTCCTTACTTTAGTACTGGGTTGGGCACAGCAAAGTTCCAGTCCCTACTTCGATTTGAGCTGCAAAGTCATCAGAAGCCGCCATTTCAGGTGTTACCAAGAAAAATGAATTTGGAAAAGATTTTATCTTTTCTACAATAGAATTTCCTTTCTCACTTACACTTCAGGTTGACCACGTAGAGACAGTGAGAATTCTATTTCCTGAAACTGCAGGTCTGCTCAATCATGGCCTGAAACGTTCACACGCCATTCCACATATATACTACAATGAAGCTTCAGTCTGCTCCAGCCAGACCATCTTCCCAGTCAAGTGAAGGGGAAGTGAACCCTGTGGGAT